TGCTTTCTTCCTTGCGCGAATCACACGAACGCAAAAATACGTAAGCAGGCTGCCCACGCAAGAAGGGCAAAAGGATAAAAAGAGATGGCAATAGTCATGAGATCAAACGTGAAAGAGAGCAATAATCCATTTGTAATCGAGTATGAAATTGGAGAGAAAATACGCAAATTCGAAAATCCAAAAGATTTATTAAATCATCTCTGATCTTAAAAATATTTGGATTACTGTCTAAAATTATTAATAATGGAAATAAATTTTAAATAGATCTCATACACGACACAATTGCAGCATCAAGTTTCTGGCATTCTTTGGACAGTTCAAATTACTGATGGCTCATAAATTAAGATTAGACGTAAATAGTTTGTCGGCAAAAATATTCGATTATAATTTTACGACATAAATGCATACGCTGAATATCTCGAACAAGTGTGTCGTATTACCGGGAGTCGAATTACCGATTAAAGAGAAGACCCGCGTTCCGGGAAACTATCGCTTCCTCGATTGCTATGCGAAAGACGACATTAGTGTCACGTAGCGTTCACCCGTTTTCCGGGATACGGGAGATCCCTCGATTATTTATGCAAATTAACATTTTCCCGCTCCAGACACGAACAAGATCTCGGTTGAGCGCCAAGCAACGATTTTGCCAAAGCGTAAACAAGCCGTTTATATTTCAAAGACAGTATACATCACACTTTTTAATTCTAACTTATCGTAAATGACGTAGGTGCATAATACATTAATTTGTGCTTTTTCTAAAAAAAGATTTCTGAAGGCTTTACAATTATAATTTGTTAGATCTATTACGTAAAGTTATTTTCTCATTAGAGAAACAAAGTAATTTTTGGTTTTTCAACAATAAACTTTTTCACTTATAAACAGTAACGAATAAATTTCAAGATAAAATTAATTTAATATTTAAACTAATTTTCTAATATTAACTCTTTAAATAACGAAGTAATCTTTCATTTTTGTTAACAAATAGCTATGTAAGAAAGTAGACTAATTATTTCTGAAACTATTTTGACTTTACTTACAATGATGTTTTTATATGTGTGTTGCTATAAAAATATGGTTTTTATTTTCATATTATACACGAGATATTTCGTTAATTAAACGGTAGGCTGCAAATGTCCAAAATTGATTTTCCATCGGATAAAGTTTTATCGGTATTAGTTCAAAGTTCTTGAGATTTTTGAAATTCCTTTCGAAGTCTGGTCCGAATTGCCGGACAGACGGGTCCCCGTGTGTAACATTGGACGTGTTCGATCTTTCGAATAAGTCGTCCTCGCGTCCCACAGGACTGGGAGGGAGAAGGTAAGTGGCCTAAGAGAGGTAGCGGAGTGTGTCGTTTCTACGGGCGTGCAACACGCTCGTGCATACGCACACGCACACGCACACACCCACGCCCTGGCGAACGGGGAACGAGGCGGTCGTCGTCGTAGTACACTCGATTCGAAATCAGTCGCTCGTACGAGCACTTACGTTCGAGGTGGAGAAAGAGGGAGAGAGAAAGAAATAGAGAATCGGATAGGAAGACGAGAACGAGCGGAACTGAGGTCCGCGGAGCTTCCTTTCCTTCGGACATGCCTGGCTGCCTCCTCGTCCTCTCCCACAGATTACGACCGACTTCTCCTCTCTCTCCCCGCGTGTTCTTCGCCCATCTGCGAATATACACTCTCTTTTTTCCTTTTTAGCACACTTGGCGCTCTATATTCACTTACTTCGATATTTGGATAATCGCTTCATCGCTAAATTTGGAGACAACCGAATTTAACCGAAAACATGTTCGAAACATATTTTTCTTGAAAACGTCGTTGTTTTGTCCGCGTAGAACTTACAATCATTTATGTAAAAAAATTCAAAACTTTTAAATATTTAAATCTGTTCCACGCAAACGTTTCTGATAACACTACAAATTTTCTGGGGAATGAGAAAAAACATTGGATTTTATATATTTCGTATTTATATATTTTATCTGATACTCATTTATTCTAAATAACAATCTTTCGCTCCTGCCTCGTCTCTTTTTACACTTGTCTACCGACGTGTGAGCATGATGAGACAACAAAGCACAATTGCTAATACGAACGCGTAACGACAATGGTGATCGCGAGACCATTAGGAACCTCCTGGCCTCGAAAGGAGGAACTACGTTGGACGCACCTACTTCCGGGACGCGCCATGCCTCGTCGCGCCTTCACCTGCGAGAAGTCCGCGAGCCAGGCCGTGAAAGATCCTCAGGTATCCGGCGACTCGTGCGATCGTACACAAAAATCTTGATTGCGTTGTGGCAACTGAAAAAGAAACTGTTTGGGTCATTGGACCATATAGATCATAAATCATTTTTTCATTTGGCCAATTAACCGGCTTTATGAATATTACAACTATTTTACACGTAATACATTTTATGTAAATCGCGTAATGACTGACAGTTATTTATTTAGGTCGAAATTTCTGTCACGTTACTCGATGTTCCCACGAATTAACGAACGAAAGAAAGATCAATAAAAAACACAATAGCTTTTTATTCGAGAGAACCGTGCGTTTTATCATATTTTTTAATCTATAGGTATTTATTTTA